TATTCTGTACTCGGAGTGATGCAATCTAACGGAATATCATCAGATAATTACGGGAGAGATAGATGGCAGTAAGGGATAGACGGCACTTTAATTTCCTTGTGTAAATAATTAATAAAATTATTATTACTATAGATGTTTCTCCGTTTGCAATTTGAATTATGTTTGAACATTTTGCAAGAAGGCAAACGATGTTCGTTTAGAATCGAATTAGAATGTTCAAATCTGGTGTTGTTTTCTTTTTGTTCCCGAAGTATATATTTTAGTACCAAAATTTACAGCTATGCAACGTTATATACCAACCTCATGTCAATCATGATTTCATTTAATTATCGAGATAAAATTCTTATCATTAAGTTTTTCCTAACAAAAACTTTTCGATTGTGTAAAAGAAATAAATTATTACCTTCAATTTAAATAAATTAATATTGTTTAATACGCTCTTTTATAAATTTTTCGAGTATGTGTGTGTCAGGGAACTGTGCATTAATCGGTCAAATATCAAATTTTATAATCTTGATGTATAAAATCAAGAGACGACAAATTGCGTCTTCAGTGCAAAGAATTAATTTCTGTGTACTATAAAGTTTAATCATTACCTTTTCTTGCCCATATCGTCCGCATACCAGCTTCTATAAAATCCACGCATCCTGTCGTTCAGCGTGCCTTCAAAATCAACTACAATATCCACTTTTTCCCCAACTGTCAATTCTTCGTCAAACGCTATGGTCAAGAAATCGTATTTGTTGCTCGTGCTGTAGCGCGTATTGAGTTTCTTATTCTCCACAAAAACGGAAATATCTTTGTGGACCAGATTCGAGGAATGTAAAACGATGGATTTCGTCCTTTCTTTGATTTGTGCTGCAATTTTCACTGATCCAGAGAATGTAAATTGGTTTCCACCCTCTTCGATGTTTGGTTCGACATCGATGAAATACGTTAAAGGTACTACGTTCTTGGGCAATCGATAACCAGTTTCGATGTCTCTTTCGTTTCTGTTGTTGTAATCGTTTATCCAAGTTTTTATTTCATCCTTGAACGAGTTGAACTGGAGTAATTCGTATTTTGCAATATCCAGAGAATTATTCAGAGAACCCATGATATCTTTGAACTCCGATTGGTGGTTGTTGATTAGGTCTTCGAATTTGTCAACAGACTGTTGTGTTGAGAACCCTTGCGACGCAGATGACAAGATGCTAGCGATCGTGTCTGTTCCATTGTAACTAGAACAATTACGGTGTCCTTGTTGAGTATTGTCATTTGATTAATTCTTACCATTTGATACTTATTATTTACTTATTTCAAAGGACATTTATTACAGCAAAATGAGAGTCTCGATACTTTATTGATTCCAGCTTCACAGAAATGAAAATTCTTTTCGCAAAAATGATCCAAAAGGAGTACGAAATAGTATACGTGACAAATAACGTTTTAAACTGCTACTTCCGTTTGAATGATAAATCTTGATATTCGATGAAAGAAAGAAATGAAGAGTGTTTCCAGCAGATTAATTTTGCCAAATAAGTTTAAATATTCCTTCTTTTAGGAAAGTTTCTTAGTTACTTATATTTTTCGCCGTTTAAAAATCATTCGTTTTAAATGTCATTTACAATTGGTAATATAAAGTTGCGAAGACTAACGCATCCAAATTGGAAAAAATGGTAAAAGTTTGCGGTTGAATTTTTCGAAGAAAATAGGAAAGCTTTTATAAAAGCAATTTTATTACGAAGATTGTATTGAGAAAGGATGGATGACGTTCGTGAATACTAATTTATGTAATATAAGGCGAAGTAAGAATTCATTCTTTTTGTTCTTCTGCGCGAAATATTCTAATACATACTATTCCTTCATCTCTGCATGGTGCTTGTCCACGAAATTCAAAGTAAACACAGCACCGTCGTATCCGGAGCCAGAAACTGCAGAGAACACGGATGTACTGTCTTGTTTGCGAATTCTATTTTTTTCAAAGCTCGTAAGTGCACTCAAGAGGTATCTGAAAATGACGTTCAAGAGAAATTAATTATATTGGGAAAGAAACTGATTAACTAATGTCACTGTCATTTCTAACTTGACCGCTGCTTTCATGCTATTTTCATTGTTATAATTGTTATTCGCAATTAATTATTATTAATGCAATTATAACGTAGTTACTTATTTAATTATTTATTTTTATAGTAAGTTTCCGTGCAATACTTGTTAAGTGTACCAAACGGATTTTAAATACATTTAATAAAATATAAGTACGATGAAAATTGTGTATAAATTGTGATGTAAATCTGCTTTGTACCTTCCGTTATTCTTTTTAATGTAGAAGTTTTTATTATAAGAGAAACTACTAATTTTTACCTTTCCAAAAGACTGGAATCTCGAGTGCAGCCAAGAGCTTGCAGTATGACTGCTTGTTCAGATGCTGAATTTGAATTATAATATTGTTCCCATAAAAATTCCCAATCAGTTTTCGTTCCATGCCTGATAGCAGTGCAATAAGCAGCAGGTCTCTGGTTCGGTTTAATTCTGCAAATATATGGAAATATATTTATAGCGAAGAAGCATTGTCATCTTCAACGTATTCAAAAAGTACGATTTTTTAACGACTATCTTGTTTAGTGAAAGGAAAATCATGCGTAATTCAGGTGCAACATTTAGAAGGAATATTTGTTCGATACTTCGGAAACAGAGATGTAAGAGTTTAACTCGTTTATAAATATGAAGTATGAGGACAATTAATTTGAATTGAAAATTGTATTTAATTGATTGTCGGAATTAAT